AACTTTAAACAGTTCCATTTAGCTACCATACGAATAAAATGATTCACATCTAATCTCACGTAGCAATATGGAAGCATATCAACGTTTTTCATAACCACAGTCAGGAAACATTTTTGCAAATAGTCACGAAAATCGTTGCATTTCGCAAATACATTTGAGATAGCAATTAAAATTGCCCATCCAAAATCTGTTACAGTTGCATGTGGAATAGAGATCCCTTTAGAAATAATATTTCGTAAGAAGAAGGCTATTATCATAGCTCTGTGATCGGCTGAAACTATTTGGAACACAGGGATACTGCCTTCTTTGCTGACAAAGACGCATTGATATAAAAATATCGGTGAATCTTGCGATGATTCGCGTTTAATGATACCACCTGTCGCATCAATTGTCAAAAATGCTTCTAGTCATTTTTGCATCTTGTCGTATACAACAGCTGTTGCTCAGGAGTCCAATATATACAATAAAAGGGCAATATACGAACATTGATAATAATTGAACCTGTATATCTTGTGTTTTTTGCACTATTCAGTAAATTCAATATAGGATTACTAAATATTAACCCGTGTTGTTGTAACAATTGCTCTTCCTTTGCTTTACGCAAGACCGACAAAGAAGGGAGGATCGGAGGATTCTTATCTCCAAATACTTTCAGTCGTTTTGCTTCTTCTCATTGAAAACTAATAGCATCTTTTCGTTGCTTAATCATTACATCAGCTATTATAGCACGTCGCTTACCTTCCAATTGCCGTTTTTTATCGGTAGTATGTTTTGTAGAACATATATTTTGTATCGTGCAATTAAAAATTACATCTACGTCATTACTAGGCATCCTGAACAATTTACCTTCTACAATTGCAGTACATTCAACGCAACTGCCTTGAAAACATATATAACAATGTGCATCCATACGGAGTTACACATTGTGTTTCTTAAATTTGAACACACAGTTTAACTTTTGTTGTTGCCAAAGTTTCTCTGCGATATCGGTCCAACCTGTTTTTAGCACCCAATAAACACGATAATTATACAACTTTCTCAACTTTTTTTTTAACACAGGTTTCATTATGTTCCATTTATCTGCGGATAAAACAAATTGAAATTCTTTCGAGTATACGGAACAAAATGATGTGTCATCAATATTTTCAGATACTGAAGTATCATTATTATCATAGTTGAAACGACAATCTATATTAATACCATAATGTTGTAATAATATGTTCCTGTATCCATTCCGATTTTCGCGTACAATAACATATACATGTTTGGCAGTGATCTTATAATCATTCACTAATCAATCATTCACAGAATCAATTCACTAATTTTTTGCGAAATGGTTGTGTATACGTGTCTGGAAGGTGGATATGGTTTGCCGTCATCATCCAGACAACCACAATCATCCTGCAACAAAATTTCTAAAAGAGCAGTTTTATCATACATGGCTACAAATACAAGAGCACACTATGTGCTTAAATGCAATGCAAAACTGCAAACTGCGAATCAAATAACACACGGGCTATGTACGCTTGAAATCTGTAAGTAATCTAATCACTTATTCCCTACCACTCAACGCACGAGCTAGGACTCTATTCTACTATCCTCTCCGTCAAAACAAAGTCGTTCACCGAACTAAAAGAGTTAGATACAGGGGGGAGGGGGTGCGCTGTTGCCACGACGCGACATTTTCAGACCGCGCGAAGCATACTATACTTCTACCTTAAAAAATATTAAATCCCATAATTTACCATTAATTATTAATGGAAGCAAGTGCAAAGCAGTAAATATTAAAGGTAGAATAGTAATGACAGTACAAGAAACGTGCGCTTTTATTCACTCTTGCAAATCGTTACAAGTGCAATTGTCGCGCATACAGAATATCGGAACGCAATACATACATCTGTCGATAGTATTTTTCATTTAGCATTTTCCATTTTAGAAGATGGAAAATTACTCGTCAAACATTATACAGAACGAGCTCGTATTTTAAAAAGTTTATCTGTATAGTTTCGGGTTTTGTTATTATTTACACATCCCATTTGTGCGAGTTAACACAATAAACCACAACTATCATTTACATACTATCTATGTTAGAATGTCAGTTATGTAAATGTTACATAACACCATGTGTTATATAATATTTACATGATTGAATGTAACATTCTAAAATAGATGATATGTCACTGATATTTGGTGTTGGCAGAGAAAGGCAGATTTACGTGTTAAATCTCGCTTTCCACTGTGTGAAAGACTTTTCATAAAAACATTGTGCAAATGCATACATTATTGCAACTATAAATACAGTAGCTGTAATGTCTTTTGTGTATTTTAATATCGCATTTTCTTCTTTGTTTGTATGTTTTGTCTGCATGATGCTTACATGACATTACTATTCCCTTTATGTTTGCTTCTTCCTTTCCTTACATCCTATCATTCCTTAGGAAATATAAACCAATGTCAAATAATTCCATTTTATAAGTGACTTATTCGACATTTGTTTATCATTTCCTTTTGATGGAAAAAACCTTCTCGCGGTTTCCATCGAGTAGCAATGTGGATTTACATATTCTTTTTTACTAAAATCATTTATATACACGACACAGTACATCTTTTTAAACACTGATTAGTTACTTAATTACTAATAATTACTTTATTAATAATTTTTCATTCTTCATGCATGCACAATACTACTGCAGTACTACATGCATAATGCATTTGCTTCATACTTTAATATCATCGCATTAATCGACAAGAAGAATGTTTACTCTTTTTCCAACTTGATTCTATCCACGTTGCTGGCAAAGAGTGGGTTTCCTAAACTGTACGCTATAACTGTACACTGTTTTTCATCCATTTATGATAATTTTTCACAAACAATTCGTCAAACTTCGTGTCATTTTAATACAACATAGTATTTTAATACAACATAGTATTTTAATACAACATAGTATTTTAATACAACATAGTAAAAACATAGTATTATTATATTTTTATTGAGTGGTGCACTGAACACTGAACTCAGAGCGTTGCCAATGGTCCACTTATTTCTCTTAAATAGGTTCATTGGATTAACAGTTGCACTGCATCGAAAATACATGGGAAAACCGTTTTGCAAACAAGTGAATACATTTGAAGATATTATAATAGGCAAATAAATTACCTTTTTATTAGATTGCATATTTATTAATGCACTGTACATCATTTTATTGTTCTGAGGGAGGTTTTCTCATTCAGCGCGGTGAAACTGACATATGTTATGAATTTCTTTTTCGCGCAGACAGAAGATTTTACGGATGTAATTGTTTTTGGGGATTGTTTAATACTGTTTGAAGAGTATTTGTTAATTCAGAGAATATTGTAATGAAAGCAAGTAGGTTTCATTTCGTACCTTCTTGACTTTGTTACAATACTTTTCCATATTTTATTCTACATCTTTGTACAATTTAAAATTATTCTTCAAATATTATTAAACAATTCCCAACAACAATCAAATTTATGAACCTGTCCGCCTCAGCAAAACAATTAATGAAATATATTTCATTTTCTCGGCGCGGAATATTATTAATATTATTATCATAAACAATAATATTATTAATAATAAAATAATATTCATAATAATTTAGGCGCGCTGAATAGGAAAAATTCCTCAGTATCGTCATAGTCGCCCCCGCGACTCAGATTGCAGTCGAGAAAGAATCAGCCTAACTTGCGTCGCTGAGCGAGAACGAGAGCGAGGAAGAGGGAAAGATATTCTTGCTCGTGTCGCCGAGCGAACACGAGAGCGAGAAAGAGGGAATGATATTCTCTCGCTCGCTCGGCGCGCCGACGGTTGCCGAGCGCATGGTCCATACAGATAGACCGAGCCAGCTATGTGTGCGTAGTGGGGGAAATTCGCTGGCAAGACCGTCACCGATTACCCATCACTGCGGCCAGACACTTTCTTGTAGCAATCTTGGTTTGGTAAAGCCGTTTTCGCTCTCTCCAGCCGCTTGGCGATCTCGCCATGATACCTATTCATTTCTCTTACGTTTTTTCGCGCAGGCGAAATTTACGTCAAATTATCGCCCGTGAAATCTTTCGTTCTTTTGTTACTGCGAATTGTTGCTCCGAAAGTGATTGTTAATTTTGAATAAATTTGAACTGCGTTAAAAGGAAGAGTTTCTTTTATCGTGAACATCGACCAACTATTGACTTGCCTGTGCTTCGAAATTTCCACCGTCTCTCGCGCTCATTTCTGAGCGGAGCCAAGCAATCTAGCGATCTCCAAGAAAATACCGGAACGATCGCGAACAGGTATCGTGAATTTCCTTTCCAGTAAGGTCGCCCGAAGGCTAACGAGTCCATTAGCCCAGATTTATTAGTCGAGGTTCTTTCTTCCCCCTAGTATCGGATGCTTGTTGCCAAGCTAATGAGCCTGCACGTCTGGGAATTTAAGATGATCTTCACGTGACCTTGACAACGCTATTCAAGGTCATACTGATATTGCTATGTAATGCGTTACTTGAGACCCTACAACTTTGATCTGAAATATTTTTTTATAAAAATTATATTTCTCGGTATATTTCGGGGTCCTGATATTTTTTCCTCACCCTGTATGTCATGTAAACTCTAGAATAACTATATATATTTCACAATATTTCATTTCATATTGCAATAAGATAAAGAAGATACGTTCAATTGCGCGTATGAAGAATAACTGTGCAGTGTCTTGTGTCGATAACACGTTGCGATGTTGTATTACATATATTTCTCGTTACATCATAATACATCTACCTCATTCACGCGATGTCTGTACAGCGTTCCCTCTCTTCCTCCCCATCTTTAACTTCATGTTCTGTTGAACGTCGTTAAAAAATTCATGTTCCTTACACTGTAATTTTATCAACTGCACTCTCTATTCGGGTGATAAACACGAATATATTACTAACAATATATTACTAACAAAATCTACTTTGTAACAATTCCTTCATTCATGCATTATCCTCCTGCAGTTTTGTCAGAAATATTCGATCGTACTTACGTACTCAGCTGAACATGACTAAGTTGTTCGATACACGCTACTATTACCTAACGAAATTATTTTGCTCGATGGTTGGTCTGTGGCCGTATCAGGCACAAAATAAAAGAATATTCATCCAAACGTTCAATATTCTTATTTTACTTTCATACGTTCCACCTCAGGTAAATATAGTACTTATTTCTATTTGGTCATAGAGGAGTAGTTCTTTATAAGTACGGAAGACAGGATTGATTGAACGCAGAACATTGTAAAATAATACAAAATTTGCAAAACGATTAGTTACTATTGGAGAAATGGATGAATGTTTATCAATAAATATAATATTGTAACAGCTAATTAAAATAAGATATGATGATTGATTAATTAATTAAAATGAGCTCATTCTGGTGTAAATGGTTTGAAATTATGCTATTAAGTAAAAAAAATCATAGGAGTGATACATTTTCTTTCGCCTGTTTGATTCAGTTGAATAGATTGCACCAAGTTTGGAGAAACGACATAGATGCCGTATGCATGTGTATGCCGCCAGTCTTCACTATATTTTTGTGTTCGTCTAAAATTATGACTCTCACGTTATGTAGATCAAAGGTAATTGCATTGTTAACATTTTATACACGCCATATAGTAGATATATAGGGTGAGTAAAAAGTACTGGGACGATGAAATGTCTCGAAAACTAAGCATTTTAGAGAAAAATGTTCCAAAAAAAAGTTGTAGGGTTTCAAAAGATCTATTTACCGGCGCTATGAGTTTCACTTTGAGTGGCGTCGCCAAGATCAGAGCAAGGTTACCTGGAATTTTTCAAATAGAAACCCTCATTTTTCATTGCATATTCTTCTAGCTTATCTCGAGAGCTTTCCAAAACACTATAAAAAATATTTTTTCATTGAGTACTTTTCGAGTTATGGAGCTCGAAGATTACATTACCGGCATTAGTACTACCCAAGGTGTACCAGATGGAGGTTGCACGGTCGGATTTATACCTCTTTGTGCGTGTGCGTGTGCGTGTGCGTGTGCATGAGCGTGTGCGTGTGCGTGTGCGTGAGCGTGAGCGTGAGCGTGAGCGTGTGCGTGTGCGTGTGCGTGTGCGTGTGTGTGTGCGTGCGTGTGTGTGTATGTGTGTGTGTGTGTGTGTGTGTGTGTGTGTGGGTGTGGGTGCGTGCGTGTGGGTGTGTCACAGCAGAGATAAGGACCCACGGTTCGTCACTCCCGTAGTATTTTTTGACTCCAAACCCTCTCTGCTGTGTGTGTCTGTGTATGTGTGTGTGTGTATGTATGTGTGTGTGTATGCGCGCGAGTGTTTGCGTTCGTGCGAGCGTGCGTACGTGCACGCGCAAGTATTTGGCGATAATTATAGCAAATGTTCGAATTGCCTTCCGTTCATCGCTTGACAGTGTACTAGCCTTAATAAGAAAGAATCTCTGACATTTCTTAACATGTCGACGGTTATGAAATTCATTTCATAAGTTATTCTTTGTTTTAATTCGTTGACGTTTGCGGGTTTAGTTTTATAAACTCGTTCTTTCAAGAATCCCCATAAGAAGAAATCAAGTGGTGTCAGATCGGGAGACCTTGGTGGCCATTCAATTGTTCCTCGTCTCCCAATCCATCTGCTTGGGAAGATTTCATCCAACAACCTTCGTACCCTTAATCCAAAATGTGCTGGTGCACCATCTTGCTGAAACCACACGCGATCAAAATTGATAAGAAAGATTTTGAATTGCAGGAATAATTAGCTCAACTAGCATAGCTTCATATCTTTCGGAATTGAGATTTTCATCGAAGAAAAATGGGCCTATTAAATAATCTCCAATTATCCCTGCCCAAACTTTTTTGCGATATTGAGATTTATTGTCTCTCATCCAATATGGATTTTCGGAACTCCAATATTGTAAATTCTGATGATTAACATTTCCATAAAGTTCAAAAGCAACTTCATCGGTAAAAACAATGTTATTGACAAACACATTTCCGCGAGCCTGAATAACTTCACAAAATTCCATTCTCCGATGAAAAGTAAGTACCGCATAAGTAACTCCTGTACATACAGCATTTTATAAGGATGAAATGTGTGCTTTTTTAGAATGTTACACACCGATTTCTGGCAGACTTCATTTTCTGTAGCAACTTTTTGAGTGGATGTACTATTTTAATAAAGCTTTGCAGAATATCTGTACTTTTTTCATCACTGGAAACAGATTTTAATCGTCCACTGCGCGGCTTATCTTTCACGCTACCTGTTTGGATAAAACGCTGGAATATTCTTTCAACTGTGGATTTTGAAATTAGATTTCGTGTGTTGAAGGTTGCATTAAAGAGATCGCATGTCTCTTGATATGATCTCTGTTTATCTCCATACCTTTTCATCATCAACAGATAGATCAACAGATAGATGCGTTCCCTTTCCGACAACGTAGCCATTATTTGTTTTATTCTTAAGAAACTTCTACAAAAGCACGACGAAGCCTGTAAGTATGGATCTCAGCTGCCTACCGCCAGAGATGCTTGCTTGCGTACGAGATAGTACGCTAACAGCGTATTGCCGTCAAGCGCCGCTTCAGCGTTACGCTGAAGCGGCGCTTGCGAGCGTATCCCCACCAACAGCGCTACGTTGAAGCCGCGCTTGCGAGCGTATCCCCACCAACAGCACACGCACACGCTCACCCACACGCACACGCACACGCACACGCACACGCACAAAGAGGTATAAATCCGACCGTGCAACCTCCATCTGGTACACCTTGGGTAGTACTGATGCCGGTAATGTAATCTTCGAGCTCCATAACTCGAAAAGTACTCAATGAAAAAATATTTTTTATAGTGTTTTGGAAAGCTCTCGATATAAGCTAGAAGAATATGCAATGAAAAATGAGGGTTTCTATTTGAAAAGTTCTAGGTGACCTTGCTCTGACCTTGGCGACGTCACTTAAGGTAAAACTCATAGCGCCGGAAAATAGATCTTTTGAAACCCTACAACTCCTATTTGGAACATTTTTCTCTAAAATGCTTAGTTTTCGAGACATTTCACCGTCTCAGTACTTTTTACTCACCCTATATAAGGCTGAATCTAATTCACTTAATTCAGTAAAATGTCATATCACAGACGACGAGTTTATGTTACGGAGGGGTGAGGGGTATGTGATGTTTAGACGAGGAGGTCACATCATAGGAGGAATTACTCCCTATCTCCGGGGGATAATTACCGTTAGCAGGAAGTAGTATTGGGGTAGGTATGGCCAGTCGAAATATTCCCTCTCCACTCAACCTTCCGGTGCCACTAGACCACGTCCACCGGCGCCGGAAAGTCGAGTGGAGGGGGAATGTTTCGAGTGGCCATACCTACTGCCAAGGTTGAAAATGGCGGAAATTTCAATCACCGAAATAAAAATTAGCGTAATCTAAATATTAAATTTTTATTATTCATATTAGGCGTTGTTAGTGATTCTAGCTCTTAGTCAGCTGGTTAATTTGCATATTACTTTTTGAAAAATCTCCTTGGCACTCTGCGAGGCTCGAACCCGGCACTTCAACTCTCGAGTCAAACGTCTTAGCAGCACTACTCTACTACTGCTACTCTTTGGTAGAGACTGAGATTTCAGGACGTACCCGTAGAACGGAGAGAGTGCGCGCGCGCGTGTGTGTGTGTGTGTGTATGTGCGGTTAGTGTGAAGTCTCTGGAAAAATCTTGCTGACCCTGACCGGATTCGAACCCGGGTCCGCTGGCTCTCGAGAGTCAAGCGCCTTATGCCCTGCGCTACTGCTATACCCTGATGGAAACTAGGTATATTGTATACATACGAAGATTATCGACGTCATACGTGAAAAATTTGGCCAATTCTAGAACCTACGGGACTCGAGACCCCACTATAAGACCCCGGATCTCGACTCTCGTGAGCGTGTGCGAGCATGTTCGAGCAGGTAGGGATCATTTCGAAGACAAAAACTACCTGGCGATTGTTGGAAGACGATACCTCTGGTCTATGTCTACGCCGAATATTTTTATCTGTACGGGTCTCTCGCTTTCGAACTCGAAAAGTTTACAATGTGATTTGTTACCTCGAGCTGGTAATCACAGGGAAGAGAGAAGAGGTGAAGAGAAAGGAATGCACAATATTTTTCATAGAATTAATTCACATTTTATTCTTATACATTTCTCTTAATACAGGATTGAACCTGGTACACAGGGATATGATGATCTAGCGATTTACGCTTACATTGACAAAAGATTTTCTTATACATTCGTACGATCAACTGATCGTTTCGTTCGCAATCATTGGTGAACAAACTGTTAAACTGCCCGAGGTTATAATCCCGACACATAAAGTAAAGAAAAACACAGCAATAATGACCACAAGTCATCGATAAGAGTCCCTGTAGCTAAAAGATATTCCATTGATAAGTAACGGAATTTCTTCTAAGATGCAGGAGAAATCGTGAGTCCCAGGGTAGCATCCCGTAGCTGTCGAAGTATGTGGCCGCTCCATTCCGATCGACGTAGAGTAAGACTCAGTGCTGTCCCGGACGATCATGATTGTTCGTATTAGCTACTGCCGTCGACCTCGTCCACACCCTCGGTAGTTTGTCGGCTGGATAGACGCCTGTGTGTCTAGCATTGAGATGTTGCGCATTGAGAACGCATGTTGAATATCGAGCGAATTTATTTTACAATATATAATTTCGTTTACCTCTGGTAACGCGATTGTTATAGTCTTCGACGGCTCGACGGAATGTTCCAACTCAGTATTTCTCGTTTTTCTCTTCTTCAACCGGTGACTATTCGCTTGCTGATTTGTCGGAATAACTATTTTCTCTGTCTTCCTCGTCAATTTTGGAGGACAAGCACTGGGTCATATAGATGTTGCCGCGTTTCCTGATGTTGATTTAACTTTGTTCGATGAACCAGTGTTTCAATTTGTATGCATCGCGTAATGCACAATGATAACGTCTGTGTTTACTAAATGTGTGGAGTGAGCAACCTTCTATTCGTTCACTGGGTGAAAGATCACTGGCCGTCGGCGAGATATTCTCCAGATTATACATGTTTCGCGCTAACAAATTTTGCAAGTAGCTCGCTTTTTCCTTGCATTTTGTCATGGAGTCACAAATATGACTCGTAATTTCGCAAGCGGGGATAAAAATATTTTGGATTAACCTCCCCATCGTACCACTCGATTCCATGATAATTCAGCGAAAGCCAGTTATTTATCTGTCTTGATTTTTCGTTCAATTCCGCAAATGAATACTCTGGAGATCCAATGTCCGACAAATGCCTCATTAATACCGACAATAGCCACCTCCTTAAGCACATAGGTATCGTTGCTATCGCGGAAACACTGCACTTCGATGATCACATTCATGTTCTCGCTGTATTCTCAATTCTGCTTGCCGAAACTATACTCTTTACACCTCGAAGCCGACTGAGTTCTTTTCTCGGTAAATATGCAGTATAACGCCCTCACCTTAGATTTTTTTGAAATTTTGAAAATTTGTGTATTTTAATGCGTAGAATTGATTTCTGAAAACGAAAATTGTCGCTCATGTACCGTTTCTTTTTTTTAATTAAAAGTTTTATGATGTCGGTAAGTAAAAAAGTGATAAAATTGGTAAACTTTATTGATAAAGCTGACTCGAATACGTCTAACTTCAGTTATATTCCTAAATAAATTTACTTTCATCTGTAATCGTAACTTCAAAACCTAAAAATGGGATATTCAGTAGAACAAATTAATAATAATAATCCTTGGTTTGGAGTTCAAGATATAGTCGGTGATGCAAAATTATGGCTTAAATTTATCAGAAAAATATTCTGGGATAGAAATTTAACTGATCATAATCGGATAATTTTAGTAAACTTCACATATATAAATACGATAATTATACAGAATACCCCCCTCACCTCTGATATCGATGAAAAAATATTTAGTCGACGCGCTTTTGCAAGAGAAACAACTTATCTATTTGAAAAAATCGTCGCTCTGCCTTGTGGAGCGAAATATAAATTGTTAAAGTTGATGACAATTTACATTAGGAAATCTGTCACGGAGGCGACAGATAAGCAAAATTCCGGATGGGTTTGCAACTTTCCACGCGTAACGAGGACGAGGTGGGTGCGGGAAGGGGGCTGAAGGCCCTCCCTCGCACCCTCCGTGTGTGTGTGTGTGTGTGTGTGTGTGTGTGTGTGGGTGTGTGTACATATGTTTGAGACATTTTTATTTATTAAATGAATTTGTAGCTCATGTATTAGTGGTTATTAAAAAAAAATAACCACTAATACATGAGCTACAAATTTATATGTTTAATAAATGAAAATGTTTCAACATATGTATACACACACACACGGGGGGGTGCGAGGGGGGCCTTTGGCCTTCCTTCCCGCACCCATCCCGTCCTCGTTACGCGTGGAAAGTTGCAAACCTATCCGGAATCTTGCTTCGCATTAAAAAATATTTTGTCAGATTATTTAGGTTATAACATACAACTGTGTTAACAACTCAATATAATTGAAGTTTGACGATATAATATAATTGAAGTTAGACGTATTCGAGCTACCTTTATCAATAAAGTTTACCAATTTTATCACTTTCTTACTTACCGACATCATAAAACTTTTAATTAAGAAAAAAAAACGGTACATGAGCGACAATTTTCGTTTTCAGAAATCAATTCTACGCATTAAAATACACAAATTTTCAAAATTTCAAAAA